ATTTGACATTCTGGATAATTATTTTGAGACACATTACAGACGTCTTTTTTCCTGGGACACTTGGGATTCTGGTAATATGATTTTTTAAAAGACTAGACAGAAGAATCTGCTGCTCGTGTTTATGCCAATTATTTATAGATTTAAAGCTGACAGATTCAATTAACTTGAGTACCAAAAACCATCCTCTCCTGCAATTGAGCTATTTTCAGCTTCAGACGATAAAAATTCATTCATAACTAAATACAAACACTTAGATGTTGTTGACTAAACCGCTCTCAAACAACAAGTGCGTTTCATTTTTGCACATAATAAAGTTAAGAGCAGAATCCTCTCCGTGTGCCGTAACTGAACACAACAGACGTCAACAGAATACAAATCAGGGCGTATTTGATGCTGGAGAACTAAAACCTCTGGGTTTATGATGTTTTTGATCAGCGGTAAGACTGTAAACCTACTTAAACTTAAATATACTTTTATTTATTTTTTATATAGAAACACATACTGTGAGTAACGTGCGTCTGCCACCCACCACATCCTTTATAGCTTGAACTTATTTCCCTAGATGGGGAAAGTTTTTGACACACAATACTTGACAAAGAATATAAACAATCTAATGAAACGAGAAGAACGGCGTGTGTGTCGCTCGTTATGTAGTGATGAACACGCCTGGACGTTATTTGCAGGTGTTGCCGTCATCTGGCTGTGGAAGCGCAGGCTTATTTGTGGCTCCTAGACTTTCTAAAAGTACAATAGAGGTTGAGCCTTCAATTCTCCAGCTACAAGGCTTCCTATACCCACTCTACTAAAGTTTTAAAAGTATAGTCAGGGCTGGATCAGGATGACCCGTAAGCCTTTGCTATGCTGCTGTAGGCTCAGGTTGCTTGGGGACTTAAGATGATGCATTGAGCACTTCTTTACCCCGCTCTTTCCACACCTGATGCTTTTTCTTTTGTTTTGTTTTGTTCTTTCTGCATGTTATTAACTTCCCGAGATTAACGTTAACTCTCATGCAGCTTGTGTTTTGTCCTGTTTGTTGTTTTGTGGTCTCTGTGCTCTTCTTTTCCCTTCTCTTTCCCCTAAACCTTCAACCACCTGCACCCCAAAGTCAGCCTGTGTCTGATAGAGGTCTCTTCCTGTCAAAAGGGAGATCTTCCTTACAGGTATCACCAAGAGCTTCCTCATAGGATATCATTTAGCTGATCGTTTAGCTTTTCACTTACAAACTTATATAAATAAGACTGAATTGAATACATCTGAGCCAATCATAGCACACCTGCATCACTCCAAAGTTCTCATTGTCTTGGTTCGGGGTAGAATGGCTGCTCTATAATAGAAGGTTAAAAAAATATCCTAATAAATGAGTTGTAATGGTACCAAGCCCCTGCAGTGCAGGAAAAGGGAATATTCTACCTCCCACAGCTACTAGAACTACGGAGAAGTTCCTGCGGTCCGAAGTTGACTATAAATGATATATATGGGATCCTCATTACCTTCGGAAAAACATCCATCCACAAGTCCAAGTTTGGCTCAAGGGCTTCAGAAATCCCCGTCTTTCCCATCCACTCCGACATATTTATTTATTTTCCAAAAATCTGTGATCTGTACATTACCTCCTGGTGAATATGCACCGGTGCCATCATGCAATGATGGAGAATGGAGGATTCATGTACAGTAAAAAGGAGTAATCGTGCCATAGACAGTGTCTTAGATATGCATCCTCGAGTAGATGACTGTTACTAACTATACCAATAAATCAGCTCTCACCAGTGCCTCTCTGGCCCCCAGTCAAAGAGCCTGCTCCATAAATCTCATTATCACATATGCAAGAATTCTCAGCGGGCACTGTGACAGTAATCATACATAAGAACAAGTGCTAGTAGTCTAGTCATGAGCAGATGTCCACAGTTTAAACATGCACATAAGAAAAAGGATGAATCAACTCTTTCTGTGCTCATATTTATTCTCTGGGGTTTCGTTTATCTTATTTTATCTTATTTCACTTTTTGTTTTGTTTATGTGCAAAATTATGATCCTGTCTGTTTGAGTGTAGGTTTTTTCCCTTTATTATTTCATATTTCCAATATATTCCTGTGTTTTTGATTTAGTTGAAAAGTTAAAAGATTTGATAGCTGAATTAGATTGATGGTAAAGAATCTGTAGGCAGTATAGAATGCAGAAAAAGGGGTTTATGAGATTATTGTCAGGGTGTATGTGTGCCAGATAAAGCAACAAAAATAGCTTAAACCGTGGGAGGTTCAAGTCTTCATACCAAACTTCAGCTTCAGCAGCTGATTTATAGCTCCAAGTGATTTATTTTTCTTAAGCTGAGTAAATGACAGCTGAGGAATAAATGGCCACATAATATACATTTCCAGCATGGATCATAACCGTGAACGAGATTACCTTTTTTGCCATTACAATTCTTTATTTTAAACAATCGATGTACAGTGTGATCTATTTGAATTGTGGGGGATTTTTGGGAGCATAGTTGCCAATATTGATTTTAAGCAGTGTTAGCGTTTCTTTTTAGTCACTATAATTGGCCATTGAAAATATCAGCCACAGCTGACTGGAACGTGAAATAGCAGAAAATCAATTGTAAGTAAACAGATTTCCCTGGCAGAGTCGCACTCTGTCTGACCTCAGCAGGATTTATGATTAGACATGTTTTTACGCAGAAAGTGACTTCTTTTCGCTCAGGACACATCCTTCAGCTCTGTCGGCATTCATCAAACAACTTCAGGCCTTCACCTGTATTTACTCTCCTCTTAAACCGAATGAAGAAGAAATGAAAAGTGGAAATGAAAAGTTTGACAAGTCGAGCTAAATGCAAATGTTTTTGTTGTTGTTCCCAAAAAGAGAGTGATCCATCATGCAACTGAGTTTTCCTCCAGAAAAAAAAGTTTTTTCTTCTTCTTTTCTTTTAATTCATCCATCTACTATCACGCCTTAGGGTTCTGCACATTGGTGTATTTGTGGCTGCATGTGTGCATGTTTCTGGGTGCCCAGCAAACCATAACTCTCTTTTCTGGCGCATTAATCCATCACAGGCGAACAATATGGATATGGATATGGAAGTGGAATTTGACTGCAGAATTTAATAGCTGCGTAGAAGATTTTTCCCCCCCTCGTATTTTTAGCCCGTATGCATTTACCGGTATGAAAGATTACTTTCGTTTCTTTATAAAATATTCAACAGTACTTTAGTAACTTTATAATACTTTACTGTGATATGAATGCGCCATAGAGGGAAAACTGTGTGTATATGGGAAGCACATTCAAACGCAGAGCAGCTCTCGGAGCAGCATGTAACTGATGCCAGCCATTAACCTCCGTAGGTTAAAAGGACATTAGCAAAGAACACTGTATCATTACTGTATTAAGGCGACGCAAAGTTTGACATCACATCGAATTAGCCCGGCCCGCTACGTTGTAACAGTGCCCTGACTAAGAAAATAAAAGTGAAGGTGTCATTGGAGGTGATAACATGAAGTTGGGGAATGTGAATAGCGTTTATTTAAGATAATAAATAGCAATAATAGTTTGGAACAGCTAATAAATACCTTTTTAATTTGCTTCTATTATGGGAGTTTTCCTTTTAAGCTCAACAGAACTCATAAAGAATCGAACCCAAATTAATAAAACCAGACACCTGCAGATGCATCTGCTTCCACTGATGACTTGGCTCAAGCCTTCATACGACAAATTACATAACAAATTATTGCTCCAAATTATGCAGCACTTCGATGTGAGCCAAAGGCGACCAAACAGTGAAGAGCCGTTTTATTTATATCAAATAATAATATTTTGATGGATTTATTTGAATCCAGATTAATGTCGTGCACTACAGGGCAGCATTTTTAATTAAGCGATATCACCCTGAAATATCCCCAGCTGATTACCTGTGATTACGAACAAGAGTGTCTTTCTATTAGAAGCTTTCTGGGATTATATGTTTATATATGTTAAAAAAAAATAGGCATTTATCTAAATATGAAGTCTTAAAGTTATTGCTTTGTTCTGTTAGCAAATTACAGTCATTGTTCTTTTATCACCTAATAAATCAGTGAATCAAAAAGATTCTTTTTTTTGCATTTTATTTGGTGAATATGAAATAATCCTGTTATAAAAATGGAAAATAATGACAGGTTTTAGCAAGAAAGGTACAATTTTGCACATTAAAAAACAACAACAACCAAAAAGTGTTGCGTGGTAACACATTTTTTAATGTGTGTCTCACTTTAACCTACAAATGAGCCAAACTTTGAGCTTTGACTTTTGTTTTAGCAGCATGACGTTTGTATCGATGGGCATAGCTGACTTGCTGTTTCAAGGTTGCACTTGATGGTGATTGGAAAAGCTCGTCGGAGCACCAAACTCATCTCAGGTCTAGCTTCACATGCCTTTTGACTCTGGCTGGAGTTATAAAATGCTTGAGAGGAAAAGATTTCCCCGTCTGACTCTAAGGACAAGGCCACTGCTTCACTGAATGGCTCTTTACTTTGTTCCCGTCCCTCGTGACCTCTGGTTGCAATTGCAAAGTGAAATGATGATATTTTAAAAGTGCTTAAACTACTGGGTGCAGAGGCACCGTCAAAAGCACAGGATTACCCGCAGAGGCAGGACAGAATCTTTAAATGGTTTTGGCATTTCATTTGATGACACTTAGATGGGCAGAAGTGTTTTCTGCTAACAGTGACTTTGATAGCGTGCGGTTGCGTCTTCGAATTGTACCTTGTGTCTGGTTGATGATAGATTCTGTCTCGAGTGTGCCTTTTTTTTTAGGTTTGTTTTCTCACTGTGATAGACAGCGAGGCATTGACACAGAAGAAAGTAGATGCACTGGAACAAACAACAGCACAGAGCACTTTAATCCAAAAGTGGCTTGTCATGGGCTTTATGAGCTTCAGAGAGACAATAAAGCTGTTGTCTATTCTGGACTTAAACGATGTCCCTGTGTCATGTGGGGATGCAATAAAAGCACATCTTTTTCTCTGCAGGTGGAGTCTCCTCTGGCAGTGGATGCAGTATTAGGAGAGGCGGCATTCTCGGTCACAGATGACAAGGTTTCCATCACAGAGCTGCGTGTTCACGCCATTTCAGGCCTGACCCTGTCACTGCAGCCCAGCCCCGGCAACAGCCACACCATGGTGGCCAAGGCAACAGGAATCCAGACACTCGCTGCTCCCAAACAGGTACAGACACGAGTTATCACACAGTGCAGAGTCATTGTGCATTTTTAAACTGCTTTACTGTTAGGTTTAAAATCAAGCCGCAACCTCAGATGAGCCAAAAACGGCAGATTCTCAAAGGGGAAGGAATTCCCAGAGTTCACAGTAAAATTCCCAACTTTACTTCAACTCTTCATCTAGTTCTACAGCCTTACAGAGGTTTCACCTCTTTAAATTGTATCAAGGTCTGCAGTTGTGTCTGAGACTTACGCTGCTTTGAGAGAAAGGCGTGCTCGGTGTCACCTCTACTAATTTGAGTCACCGAACTCGACTTCTCAAGTGCATTTCTAGGGTTGTTAGAGTTTTGCTTTACTGCTGGTTTATTGTGGTTAATTTATTAGAAGCTAATCTAAAAAGGTGTTTCACTCCTGCCGAGTGAAATTCTTCTACCTTCTTTTGTATGTTATGCAACACTAATTAACAGTTATCTACAAATCCCCAAATCCTATAACAACTTTAAGCTGTGATTTAAAAAAAGTAAAAAATCCCCCACAAAAAAAAGAAGAAATGCCACAATGATGCTGAAGTAAACAATGCCAAGTCTTTTCCATTTCACTGAAAAATTCATCCTAATTGGAGGCTGGCTGAAAAATGACCCTCGCTGCAGATGTTTGGTGTTGTTGGTCTTGTGGTATACGCAATTTCCTGGATCATTTCTAATTCAGAGCTTACAAAAACAAACAAAATACCAACACACTTGTACAAGTCAGCATGTCCACATGCAGTCCAATTAAACTGGCATGGCAACAGGACTGTGCTCAATTTTAAAATCTGTGTTTTAGGTACATATTAACTGATCTGAAAAAACAAGATAGTACACACTCTTATTTAAGGTCTGAATATAATACCAAAACCATTTGAGTATTCCCATTACCAGCAGCTTAATTCAGTAGCTCAGTAGGAGCCTGGATTATGTGCTACTGACTAACACCTAGCTCTTACCATTTTCCTTATTTATGCATCCAGTCTGGTGATATTAAGTTTACTTGTAAATATCATCAACTTACTGCATTTAGACATGAAGACATGCACAACATAACCTGCTGAAGTTCAAACCGAGCATCAGAAAAGGGAAGAAAGGTGATTTAAGGGCTGTTTATCTGTTGGGATTTTCCACCCAACCGTCTCTGGTGTTTGCAGAGAATGGTCTAAAAAAGAGAAAATATTCAGTGAACAGCAGTTCTCTGGGTGACAATACTTTCATTTTCACCAAAGCTCAGAGGAGAATAGCGAGACTGCTTCAAGCTGATAGGAATGCAACAGTAATTTAAATAGCTAGTAGTTACAACCGAGGTATTCTAAAGAGCATCTCTGAATGCACAACGCTTTGAACCTTGAAGCCGGGGTACAGCAGCAGAAAACTACAGCAGGTGCCACTCCTGTCAGCTAAGAGCAGGAAACTGAGGCTACGATTCACAAGACTCAACAAAATTGGACAACAGACGATTAGAAAAGCATTTCCTGGTCTGATAAAAGTCAACTTTCAGACCTTGCCATCTGCGACGTTCAGATGGCAGGGTCAGAATTTGGCATAGGCAACACGAAACCATGGATCTGTTCTGCCTTGTATCAACAGTTCAGGCTGGTGATGTTGGCATAATGCTCTGAGGCATATTTTCTTGCCACACTTTGGACCCTTTAGTGCCAATCTAGCATCTTTTAAACAGCACAGCCTTTCTAAATATTGTTGCCGACCATGTTCATGTCTTTATGACCACAATCTGTCCGTCTTCTGATGGCTGTCACCAGCCATGTCACAAAGTTCACATCATCTCAAACTAATTTCTTGGACATTTCAGTGAATTCACTGTATTCAAATATATGGAAGCCTGCTTACGCCAAAAAAAAAAAGTATCCATAACTTGAACTTTCAAGTTATTTTCTCGAAATTTCGACTTATTAACTCGAAATTTTGAGAACAGTGACTCGAAATTTTGAGTTAGCTCTGCCAATTAGTAATCTACGTGAATGACGTCATTTTCTTTTTACCCAGAAGGATATGGCGCAGAGGAATGCACGCTCAAAACTGGATCGCAACAAATTGGCGCTTTCGAGAGTACGTTTGCTGATTGTAACGCCATGTGATTCAGCTAATAACAAAAGGATTTCATCAGTTGTGAAGCCACGCTGAAAATACTCAGCAATTTGTGCATTCATGACTGGCCGTAATACTGGTAGCTTAGCTGTAGCATTTGTAGCTGAGGGCTTCAGCTTCCGGGCAACAAGGAAATGACGTAATTCACGTAGATTACTGATTGGCAGCACTAACTCGAAAATTTTCTCCAAATTTTGAGTTAATAAGTCAAAACTTTGAGAAAATAACTCGAAAAATTGAGTTATGGATATTTTTTATTTATTTATTTATTTTTTTGAAATGGCGGAAACGAGCTTCCATACAAATAGCCTCCACAGTCACCAGATCTCAATCAAACGCTGTCAGTCAAGCATCTTTGGGATATGGTGAAATAGGAGAGTCACATCATGGATGTGCAGCAAACAACTACGGCAACTGTGTGGTGCTATCATGTCAATGTGGATCATCTACACCATGAAGAATTTAAAAAACAGGAGTCTAATCCAGGACAACTGAGGTGCACTTTATAAAATGTCCAATGAGTGGACAGCAGTCAGGAGGTACTAGTTTGATTTTTGAACAAAATGTCGCCAGTTTGATGCAGGTTTAACACGCAACATAGACAACAAAACCATTTCTATGCTAGATTTTTTAAACTGAACCCAGCATTGTTAGCAAGGGCACCATGTGAGGGCAGCTGCAGAGAACTAATAAGTATCTTTGGTCCCATTATATTACAAAACTGCATATTAGCCAAGCCTGGCAAAACACTTCTGATACGTCCAAATACATTTCCCAAAATGGGTTTTATTGCTCAAGTGAAAAGCACGAAGATGTCTGTGTAAGAGGGGGAAAGTCTTTGCCACTGTTTCTTCACACGGGAGCAAGAGTCTCTGCAATTCTCAGCTAAGAATTAATTGGCAGCCCTGCTTCACCTCGGGAGAAATGTGTGTATGTGTGCGTCTGACTCGTTTTCCCGCTTTGCCCTTTCTCTGGCCTGCAAGTTGCTAAAAACGCAACGACAACCACATCAGGCATCAGTGAGAGAGAAGCGAGCATTAAATTCCAATTCTTCTTGCTTTCCGCTTCTTGGCCACCTTGAAATTTAATTATTGTAATGTATTGTCCTAAGTGCTCTCCAAGGCCGGGCCATAAAAGGCAGCCAATTCCTCTGCCGGCAAACCTCTCAGAGGACTACTGGAGCTATTTCAAGCCATTTGATTCCGTTTCACAGGAAAACTTACTAAATGTCCTCTATTACTCCAGAAATGAATGAAACACATAAACTATGTATGGAGCGAGTTGGACAATCAAGGTCTTTTTGCATTATTCTGTTCCACATGACAAAGTTCAATCCTCTTTGAACTGAAAGACTTCAGCGTTTAAGGGATCTTTGTAAACCACTCCTGTTGTTGCTGTTGTTGCTGCGTAGCGAAAAAGTACACATCGCACTTCTGCAACCTTAAATTGATGCAAATGTCACGGAATAATATTTGCACTGCTTATGCATATTTTATAATCCAAGCTGTTCATGTTGCGTTTACATCCATATATATATATTTCTAGATGCCACAAAATAAAAACTTGAGAAAGTTACTTTACTATCATCCATATTGGTAGCTTTAATTCATATCGTGTTGTTCAGATGAAAGAGTTTTGCTTATTATTGCTATGCCCACATGTCAGTTCTGAGAAAACACAGAAACACCGTTAAAATTCTTTCTCCACTAAAGTGATGAGTGTAGTTATTCTCCTAGCTGTTACAATCAAGGGCAAAGGCATCCATGAAAAGGAGAACTGAGGTTGAACAGAGGACATGAATTTTTGACAGTGGAGTGTTTTTTCAAATAAAACATGGCAAGCTGCTCACTTACTTTCATCTCAGAAATTCATGAAAAAAGTAATTCTAAAACAGCTGGGTGATCATCTGCAGAGGAATGGTTTATTTGAGGAGTTTCAGTCAGGGTTTAGAGTGCAGCACAGCACAGAAACAGCACCAGTGAAAGTTATGAATGATCTTCTTATGACCTCTGACTATGGACTCACCTCTATGATCATTTTGCTAGATCTCAGTGCAGCGTTGACCACAATATTTTACTACAGAGATTAGAACATAACTTTGGTTTTAAATGAATAATAAATAAACTGCACCGGTTTGAATTGTTTGTATCTAATAGACTTCAGTTTGTTCATGTAAATGGGAAATCTCCATGACTAACATCAAAGTTAGTCATGGAGTTCCACAGGGTTCTGTGCTGAGACCAATACTTTTTACATTATAATTGCATCGCTTAGGCAATACTATTAGAAAACGCTAATAGTACTGCATTGCATATTGCAGATGATACCCAGCTTTATTTATTCATGAAGCCAGATGATACAAATAAGCTAGTTAAACTACAGGCATGTCTTAAAGACATAAAGACTTGGATGACCTCTAATTTCCTGCTTCTAAATTCAGACAAAACTGAGGTTATCGCAGCGGTCCCCAACCTTTTTTTGCGCCACGGACCGGTTTAATATCAGACAATATTTTCACGGACCGGCCTTTAAGGTGTCGCGGATAAATACAACAAAATAAAATGATACCACCAAGACAAAAACTGTGGTATTTTGTAAATATAATAATAAACACGAATTCACTGTGTAATTGTGTAATTTTATTAGCAGCGTCGTCCTGAAATGCGTCAACAGAATTGAGAGTAACATCCTCCTCTCTGCCCCTTAATGCTCTCTGGTCACTATGGTAACATGTAAGTATCTCTTTCAAAATAAGACGCACAACTACAACGCGGGAAAAGACCCAGGGAAACGGAGTTAATGATTAAAAACCCTGAAAACCATAAATTTCACACTGGAGCTTCAACTCTAGTGGTCCCCAACCGGGCTGCTAGGTTATTGTACTTGACCATCTTATAAAGATGGTGTCTAGCCCAATACTTTGTCTTGATAGCATTATCGTGTCGTCCAGTAGCTATGTGAAGAGTCATTTTTGACCATAATATGTCCTTCAGAAAGGAAATGATACAAATATGTAGGACTTTCATTTACACAATATCTCTTTGGATTAGCAACATCCTGTCTCAAATTTTGTCTCAAAATCCTGTCTTGAATAATCAGGCCCCATCTTACCTTAAAGACTCCACAGTATCACCCCAATAGTGTACTTTGCTGTCAGACTGCTTTTGCTTTTGGTTCTTAGAGTTCCCTAAAGTAGAATTGGAGGCATATATTACACAAATATTAGTTTACACAGTTTAAGTTTATGTCTGAGCCACTAAGGACTGCATGATGAATTTTTAAAGGTGAATAATGTTAATGAAAATGTAGACAGGTAGAATGACACCCGAATAGCACATTAAAGAACCCTAAACCAATCTGTTAGAGGCTTGGACCAAACATAGGGTTGATATTTCCCTACTTGATTCCCTCCATTCTTTCAAACCAAAAACATCTTTTTTCCTTCTGTGCATTTGTTCTGCACCCACAAACAAAATCTTCCCTCTCTGTCAGTTTTTCCTAATGGTTGGTTCCTGATGTTTAGGCAAGCTGTGAACAAAAGGGACTGTCAGATGCATCCTTGATTACACGGACACCAATGTTGTGGTTTATTCTGCAGCAGATGAATGTTGTCAGGTAACTGCCGTGTTGGCAGTGGCACCCGGGCTTTTTATCCAATTTCTCTATAGGGGAGAGCAGACAGTGAAGAGTGATAGAAAATACAAAAATAAAACCAACACAAGAAGCAAACACAAAGAGACGGACTCATCATTTGCAGCGCACACCACTGCTGTTTGCGCCTCATCTGTCTGTGCTGCCGAACGAACCTGCGTTGTAGCCTTCAGGACAACACAGTCATTTCTCTGCCACCCCTTCCTCCTCTGTGCTCGCAAGTGGTTCGCTTGTGTGCACATCAGAGGCAGGCCGTTTTGTGTGCATGTCGAGGCTTGTACTGAGCAAGGGGCACTGCGGATGCTCACGAATGCTCTGGAGATTTAGGAATTAGAGCAAGTCCAGGACTTCAAAGGCTCAGTTGGGAACAGGCATTCAAATCACGATCAATGCCGTGAAATAACAGGAACCGAACTGTTTAAATATTCTTTGGTGAGGAATGAACATCTACAGAATGGGTTATTGTTTTATCAAAATTATACCTTTGCTTCACCTTGGCCATCAGTCGTCTCTCATCTTGATAAGCGTTGTTATTAACCCATAAATAAAGGGTCATCCTGCTATTACTCATAATAGTATTTAACAAATGCAAGCTTTCGAGCACATACTGTACTTCACACAAAATAAATGGATTTTCTGTATTTGGTAAAACTAACACATAGCATCATCATTATCTTACATTTATTTCTGCTTGAGATTTACAAAAATCTTTTTGCTTTGTTTTTTCAGTGGATCTATTACGTCCATTCCCAACGTTTTGTTTACGTGTCGGACTTTAATATTCAAAATAAACCTTGTTTATTTCACACTGGGTGTTGGTGCAGCTCCTCAATCCGTCCACTGCCTGTAACAAGCTGTTATATAGAGAAGCTTGTTTCCACTGCTAAATATATAAATAAGTACATTTATATTTTGAGGGACATTTTGAGATAATAAAAGTTTGACTTGGCTCTGCTGGGCAGAAATGTGCTTCCACAGTTTTAGCTCGTCTCCCATTAAGGATGCTGTCTTCTGATTGGCTGAGTGGGGTACTGTGCTGACAGTTGATGACTAATATGACCATATTAGGGATAACTGTTCTGAGTTGAAAATTTGTGTTTAGAACAGTCTGAAATCTGTCGAATGGCTACAAGTGGGGACATAAACTGACCTCAACATTTGAACTTGGGGTGTATTTAATATAAGCATCCATCATTGCTTAGTGTGTATAGATATTACCCAAAAGAAGGAAAAACACAGTACGTGTAACAATAACCATAGCTGTTTCTTGATTTGTAAAGTAAGTGCAGCTTGTTTATTGATTTTGGTGCAGTTTTTTATGTTCTTCACTTACTTTCTCCTGACATATTCATGGCGTTGAAATAATTAGAATAACTGTTCTTTGTTTTTCTCATGAACCACAAGTCAAATTACATTCTCAATGGGAAAAAAAATCTTGATTTCAGATTTTTTTTTGTAGTCGGGGCATTTGATGCATTTTCAGAAGTGACATTTTGATACTGAAACAAGAAAAAGTTAATTTCTAGAAATTTAAAATGCATTTCTCTGTTTTTCTCTGACAGGAGGCCAGCTTGTCTGTCTGGATGCTTTTTAGTGACAACACAGCCGCCACTCTGACTTACTTTGATCCCAAAGACTACAACCTCAATGCCTCCACATTGGATGACAAAGTTGTGTCAGTAACCCAGGAGCCTCAGCAACGCTGGCCTGTGGTGGTGGCAGAAGGAGAAGGATCTGGCGAGATGGTGCGTGTGGAGATGACCATCTGTGAGGCCTGCCAGAAGACCAAACGCAAAAGCGTCATCGCATCTGCTGCAGTTTATGTCAAGGTCCGCTTTGGCCCCGAGGAGGACTCTGAGGAAGAGGCGACCACGGAGGGGGAGATTGAGCTGGCACCCGTCACCAGGCGTCCAATCGTCGATCCGAACATTAGTGGACGAATTTATGAGACATCTAACGAGCAGCCTGCCAGTGTTCCCATTGATTACACCAATTTACCTACTATGAGTATCCAAGAGGAACCAACTGAGGGTGAAGAAGAGGAGGAGGAAGACTTTGTGCATTCGCCTCGCAACATGACTGACCTTGAGATTGGCATGTACGCTTTACTGGGAGTCTTCTGCCTGGCCATTTTAGTCTTTCTCATCAACTGCATTGTCTTTGTGCTTAAATACCGCCATAAGCGGATCCCACCTGAGGGTCAGGCCAACATGGATCACTCCCACCACTGGGTGTTCCTGGGAAACGGCCAGCCGCTGAGGGCCCAGTGTGATCTGTCACCACAGCAAGTGGAAAGTCCCACTAACCCTCTGGAGGGCGTACAGACTTGTTGCCACGGGGACCACCACAGCAGTGGCAGTTCCCAGACTAGCGTTCAAAGCCAGGTACACGGAAGGGGCGACGGCAGCTCTGGGGGCTCTACAAAGGAGAACGGCGAGGATGCCAGTTCCCCCACCTCTAAGCGCAAGCGAGTCAAGTTCACCACTTTTACCACCCTTCCCACAGAGGAGCTGCCCTATAACTCCATCCCGATAGCAGATGAAGAGGACATTCAGTGGGTTTGCCAGGATATGGGCTTTCAAGACCCAGAGGAACTGCACGATTACATGCGCAGAATAAAAGAAATAGCCTGAGATACGAGGTGCAGCGTCGAGCCCCACTCTCGGCTTTCTAAGAAGAACGTTCCTTTCTATTTTTCTCTTTTACACCTAAGTGAAAGATAATTTTTTCACAGACTAAAAGGTCAACTGTTGTTTTGGTTAGTTTCTTTTAGTTTGCACAGTGCTGTAATCTCATACACGCTCACACAGAGGAGGACGCGAGGAAGCCAAAGACCTGACCAGAGGATCTCGATTGCTAGAGAAATCTGTAAATCTTGGCTTTTGCAAACCTGTTTCACTGGGAAGCCGAGCCATGGGCGACGAGAGAGCTGCTGAGGCTCTCTTATTTTCAGGATCTGTATTATATAAATACAGGCCATTTACCATTTCAATGAAAGCCTGATACGGACAGGTGTATGGTACCGGTCGTGGCTCGGTGGGACTCTGCAGTACTGTACCTATTCCAAACAAAGAGGCCTTTGATGAGCAAATAACTGTCAAAGACTCTCATGAAAGCTATGTTTAAAAAAAAAATCAAATTTTTTCTTTTGTTTTTTTGTTTTTCGCCAAAGTAGGAAAAGCGTTCTTTTAACGGCAAAACGTTCTTCATAGTTGTCGTTGGTGCGGCACACTCATGATTTGTACTCATGTTCATTCCTTACATTTTTCTACATTTCATAGGTAGTCAAAAGCAGTGCCCTACTACTACTAGTCCTCATGGTCCTGAAAAAATCTTAATGCCTTATAATAAAAAAAATGGTCACAGTTCACTCGTATATCAGCGCGGACACCCTGTTTTCTCACGACGGCTAGAGCCAGTGTAGTAAGAGCTACTATGTAAAATACTACGACTGCTCTCCAGCATGAGGAATAAATACAAGGAGCTTGTGCATTGCGAGGATCTCTAACAGTCTTTGCATGGAAGGGGATCTTGAGGCACAATCAGCAACTTTTTTTCCAAATTTGTAAATGTTTATATTGTAATTATATAATCATTCATACACATAACTAAACTGAATATGTTATCATGCATTACACGCATGCCATGCCATTCCAGGCCAGGCCAGGCTTACATACATGCAGACATTCCTCTCTAGTATATGTATATATTGCATCGAGCTGGAGCCAGTTCCAGCTCGAACATTCGACAAGCTGCTTACTCCAAGGTATACGAGTGGAAGCTGGTTGAAGTCTTGAATATTTTATAGTCTTGTGGTGGGCTGAAGGTTCCCCTCGGTAATGTTACAACAGAACTGTAGATTTTTAATAAATGGTATCACATCTGACTGTTGAACGAGGGGATTTGCTATGCATCAGACTTGTAATAGATTCTAATCTTTTGATGATTTACTTCCCTTCCCCAAGTTTGGCTGGCCCTCCAGCCTTTTGGAAAAATAATAAAAAGAAGAACTTCTAATGGAAACATTCTCACTGAGCACAAGATCCTCTAAACTCTGCAGGAAACGCCATCCATCCTTAAAGAAGGTTACGGAATAAATCATTGATTCTCTTCCATCATTTAAGTCATGACCATCTCATGCTGTCACACTGTTTTCAGACACACCTTTATGTGGGCCCTGTTTCGATTCTCTATTCCGGTGAACTTGTGTGTAGAGGTCACAAATTTACTTCAAATATGAACGGTCCCGGAGCGTAGTAGCTTTTGCGGGGAAAATGCTAAATGTGCTTCTGTTACTCCAGCTGTGAGGATGATATGGGTGCGGGTGTGAGATCATGTAAATGTACCTCAGGCTTTACTGACAAATCAAAGCGGTTGAAATCAACACAGCCTAAGTGTTGTTGTGCAGAAGTGTTAATTGCTGTCTTTTAAATGTTTACTGACGTGGCTTTCAGGTAAGCTCAAGCAGAAAAAATGAAAGCTCTGGAGAGTTAAGCGTAAAATATCTGAAGACTGAAAACGTCGCCAGGCAGACAGATGCATAGTAACCGGGAGCAGGGCTGATAGTATTTTTAATTACACTTGCCCTGTTAGCTTGTCTGCTTTATAGTACTTAGAGAGAATAACTAGAGACGACTTTAAAGGTTGATGTTATTCCAGCTCTGATCTCACATAAAATAAGTTCTTTTCAGGACTAATGAGACAAGCAGACTTAAAAAATGGCTTTCCATGTAACTCTGCTTAACTTCTGTAGTGTGCATCTAAGGGCTTGGAGTTTTCTTTTGTGTTAACTGTCTAATTTGGATCCTGCAAATAAGCAAACAAATGTGACATGCTTCTTTTTGTGGCTCTATTTGTCACTCAAAATGTATTTTGTTGCCATTTTACCGCCTTTAAGACCCTGGAAAGGGTCTGGGTAAAGACCCAATCCAGAATTCCTCTAACTGTGGCAGCTGTTATGCAAATACCAGCTTCTTCAGATGAAAAAATAGAATTAAAGACATACTTTATCTGTACTTTAAAAATTTCACTGATTGACAATCTGAAGACACGGTCACTCGTAGCAAATACAAAAGCTGTTACTTTATTTCCCATTGGAAAACCACATGTTTCAACACTCAGTGTGACTACCTATCAGCAGCTGGATTAATCCTTTCAAGGGGCCAGTTCACCGCAAAATAAATACAAAGACATATTTTAAAATATATGGTATGTGGTATTTCCAGGTATAGAGGTATCAGCAGGAGTATTGTTCTCCTTCTCTTGAATATAATGAAACCAGATGGCTCTTGTCTTGAGGCGCTCAAGGTTGTTAAAACCTCAACAGCAATGTCTGTTTCAGAAATCCTGAACCAGTTCCTTGAAAAAACCTCTACAAACCTCGCTTGGAGCGATTTCTTCTTTAAACTGTTTTCTTTCTACTGTCTGCAAACACTAAAAACGAAGCGTGCAGCTTGTTAACATTGCAGCTCAGCTGTAAATGAAGGCTTGACGCTATTTATGTTGTTTACATGATGTCACTCTGTCACTAGGGTGTGCATCGTGTCATGGGTAGATTGATGCTTTCTCCTGCACTTTGTTATGGTTGGAGGGTGTAGTTGGGTGGAGAGAAAATAGTTCCTGCTGTACATGTAAGTGCGCACCACAAGGTTTGTGGATCGCTTTGTGTAATCAGGTCATGATCTATGTGATGAGAGCTTTTTTTTTTTCTATGAAACTGGGAAAATCCCAAAAAAATGACATGATTAAATATCACTACAACCCAGAGGTTTAGTTTAGGGTGAACTGTCCCTTTAATTCTTGTCTGAAAGTGGGCGTGAGATTATTTCTCATCACTAAACTGTACTTTTCCATATATTACTTGTATATAGACCCACAGCTGATCTACATAAATCCTGGATTGGGACTTTAAGGGTTTGATTTGCTGCATGCCCTCTCTGTGTTCCATGTGGTTGAAAAGAATAATGACCAATTCTGGTTTTAATAATTTTTAAATCTGTGTTATCGGCTACAAACGAGACGACGGTCCAAGCCCGACCTCCTTCAGCTACGACATCGACATGTTTTCCTGTGAACTAGAGAGAAAAATCAGTTTGAGTTTTGACTTCAAATGACGGTCTCTCAGGATGAATGTAGAATTCCTAACTAAGCCTGGTTCTTTTGTGATTAGTGTTAACCTGGTTAGTCTGATCTGGTGACTTTACAGATTAAGTGTCTAATAGCAGCTTCGGTTTTCACACGTTTCTTCCCCTCCTCGCTGACGTACTCACAGTATTTAATACGTTATTTTTATTATGATTTTTACATCCTCCAGTCCCTTCCTGCTTTGGCAAAGTGTAGATATTGCTCATTTTGTATCTTCTTCAAGCTGCTAATAGAAACTTAGACTGCTTATAACATGTAAATGAAGATTTTGAATTGTATCCCCACCCTCACCCCCGCCCATGGTGAAATGTGCACAACGTGCACGGCTCGGTTGGCTGTGCCAAGTAACCACCACACTGACTATAATATTGTAATGTACAGAGCACTGTTAAATTTCCTGTATTCTCTTGAAAGCAAACCCTTGTATTTTCCCGTTATATGTAAAGTACTAAAGAAAATGCAATACACAAATGGCAGTGTCGTCTTTACTTTGCTTTCCATTGTTAACACGAGTGGGAATTTTTTCATCATCTTGCATGTTTTTGGCACGATGTGTGCTCCGTGTCAGCGTGAGTTATGTCAAGAATTCAGCCTCAGTAGCTTCATTTATGAAGGGACGCTCTGACCTTGAAGGATTTTGGCTCATTGGGTGCCTAATATCTCACAGGGGGACCTGATTTATACAGCATGTGAAAGTAATGGTGTTACGCACTTTTTTTGGAAGTTATTATTTGTTTATGCCGATTTAAGATTCAAACCTCTTTTTATCTTACGGGTAACAGATCCATTCAAGGGCAAGGATGTGGAGACAAAAGACGAGGTTAATTTAAAGCGACTGCTCTTTTCTTTGCGGTTTTTGTATTTTAATGATGCATCGTCTCCTAGTGCGCATCTGCCCGTGTGTCCCTGATAGAGAGTCCAGCTTATACTTGAAGGTTATATATCAGTGCTTTTCACCCTGCCCTCAGCTGTGTGCATCTCCCGCAGCAGCAAGAAGCTTCTGCAGAGGTGGGTATAGAAACCTACTGTAGTGTGTTTCGTCTCATCCAGCGGCTCCCATCCATTAAAATCCATACTTGGAGGTGTTTACTCAAAGTCTGGAGTGTTTACTCCTTTAGTTCACTTCACTTGGGCAGCTGAGATCAAAGCCCTTTGAACTCAGGTGAGACGCAGGTCGTTAGAGAGCAGTAAGTGGGGTTTTGGAACTTGGGATATGGATGCTGACTTCGGATCGTTGGAAGCAAACGAATGCACGATACAGCGGAATACGTTCCACACTAAATGGATCTTTATATATCTGAGTCATACCAAATATTTTCAGCTGCTACTGCTGATCAAATATGAGTCAGTTGTGTCTGGTTCTGGGTTTTCTTTTAGGTGTAGGTGTGAAAAATGTATGTAGAGAGAAAACTGTGTATCAAAGTATGCCGATTCAAATGGTTCATTAGCTGGATTTTATGAGCTCTTATGCATCCAAAGCTTAAATTGTCCTCGTATGCGTTTCATTTTAGGATCAGCTTTAACATCTCTGAAGGACTTTTATTACAAATAAACTGTGTTTACATTGATCTGATTCACACAGCACAAACATTTGTCACATCAGTGATGCCACAATAATAAAACGACGGGTCGTGTTTATCGTCATCTCATTTGCACCTTCTCCAGATTCTCATAACAGATTCAAAGGAACCTCTTACAAAGCATAAATACATTTTTAAGGAGAAAACGCAGCCCACTCTCGGAGGTGCTGCCACACTGAATCCATTTGCGTCTATGAGCCTGAGTGCCTGAGGCGTCTGGGCTCTGGTGAGCAGTGGCCTCTCTGCAGCTGTCAGCAGCTTCTATAATCGTCCACCATACAGTGCGGGACAATATGTGCGTTAACTTGCTGTATCTCATCTTTTGGTGATTGAAATCTATTATGTGTTTATAATAAAAATAGCATGAAGTACTATTAATACACATCTGACGCACCCCAGACATGGAAAATGTGACAAAGCAAGAAAATAAATCTGCTTTTCACTTAACTAACAGAAAGCTTTACCCGAGAGTCCTGTGGAAAAATGAGCATACCCACGATTCAGTACCTTCTAGAACCACACTTAGCAATAACATCAAGTAATTGTTTTCTGTATGACTTTATTAGTCTCTAATGTTGTTGTGGACGAACTTTGGCGAACTTTGCTTTATAATGTTACTGCAGCTCATGCATTTATATATAACCCTCCACAGATTTTCAATCGGGTTGAGGTCTGGAGTCCCATGGCTGAGGAACAAGCCCAAATCATCGCCACACCACCACCATGCTTCACAGTTGGCACAATACAAGTGCATTATTCTTGCAGTTTTGCAAATCTTTAGCCATGCTGCCATGTTCTTTTTAGAAAGAAGAGGCTTTCTTCATACAAGCCACACTTATTCCGGCTTTTTCTAACAGACCGTCGTGAACTTTAACATTTAACATGCTAACTGAGGGCTTAGGTGTAGCTCTACATGGTCTGACCGTGGGGTGAATTTGTTAGAACATCCACAGCTGAAAAGATTATGGCACCTTGTTAACACACACCTGAATGCTTCAGAGCAGCAACCTGTCAACATTTTTATTTTATAGAGGTGCTCATGCTTACTCATGATCACCTGATCGGGTGCATTTGATCAGTGGCTCTATTTACGCTCTTAATTCCCAGGGAAGCAGGAAGGGTGTGCTTTTTTGCAGGCTTGCATAGAGTCCTGTGAAAACTCTTGTTCACATGACTGTATATAGCAATGATGCTCAAATAAATCATTGCCAAAGTTTCAAATCATCAGTGTATGTACAAATAATCCCTGTGAGGCCTTCCGGCTGCTCAGTTTTGGATTTGTATGATTTCACCGAGAGCCAGTTTCCCCAACATGGTCATGTTGGGCACACAGCTCTGGCTGTGAGCACACAAGCTCCACCGATTGGTTGCTCAAATCTTTTGCCTGCACTCAGAAGAAAGCTGGGTGAGAGGGAGAAGGTTAAATCAGACCGAGGATGAAATAAGGGGCTGCAGGAAGGCTCAAGATGAAATAAATAAGAATTATTTTGAAGCATGACTCATGAAAAGCTACTTTAGTCCAAGAATACAAATACGGAGCTGGAAATGAACAGAGCACGTCCACTTTAAATAGCATCATATTGTTGATGATGAACTAACTCCTCAGCCTTTTTTAACAAACTGCAACAGTTTTGTAATATTCTTCTTTTTCACTGCCAGCAAATTGTTTTATACAACACATGAAGTGATCGTAAGAATTACTTCCTATTTTTCACCATGATGGTGACGGATTGTTGCAGCATTAAACGTCAGTAAATCATGTTCTTGGGGTTAAATAACACATCCCCTCTATTTATTTATTTATTACTGAGTCAGTCAGACATAAGTACTTAATGCCAGGTAAGTACACTATTTGCTGTTTTTGAGTAAAATTGGACAAAAAACTGTCATCGTTACCTCTAGGAAAAATAAAGCTACATATTTTGTGACTGAGAGCTGTAGGTAAGCAGGAAATGATATTATTCATGTGTGTTTTTACTATTTTTTTTCAGAATTTACAGTCAGTCAGGAGAAATATGGCAGCACAGTCTCTCAAAATATCTTTGCACATACATGCGTTTTCAGATTTCAGCTTTAAGTAATGAGTTTAATGACGTGCACTTCAGACTAATAAACAATCTCCATAGTGAGGATGTCTACAGTTTCACTTCCTGCATTAACAGTCTGGATGCAGCTTTCAAATGGTCCGGCCATACTTACAGGCTATGGTATGATATAATGCTAATATATGGAAAAATGTACAGCGCACATTTATGCCATTTTGTCATCCGATTCTCTGCTGGAAATCTAATTTAGCAAAATTACGCACTTGATGCACAAAGAGTACAAGTGCACCTCTGGCAATAACAGGACTTCTTTGTCTAACTTATTATTTTTCTGATGTGGCACGACTGGCGTTTCAGCAGTCGAGTAAATTTAGCTCAGTGGTAATTTGGTTCAGCGTGGAGTGCAGAGTTGACTCAAAGTGAAATCAATCAGCAGCCCCGCTGTGACTCTACCAGCCATTTATGCCTTATCTAACCTGTAATAAAGGTTCAGTTCTGCACTGGGGGTGCCAGAGTACCAGAATTCACACCAGACCTCTAAGGAGGAATCCCACTGCCGAAGAAAAATGTATGATATCCGCAGTGCACTAATGCAGCACTTAAATACTTTGACTTTGGTTTAATTACAGTTATTTTCTTTATATTTTACAGATAGATTGATGGGAGGAAAAGGGGGGGAAATGTGAATTTCTGTAGCTGGTGTTGCAGCTATATTTGTGGCCCAGTTTTTGTGTTTTGTAATGGCTTTGTTATTTTCTTGCTGTGGATAACAGACCAGTCATAGACACTATGATCTCATGTCAAGATATTTCCAGAGTGGCTAGAATGAAACCTGACAGCAGAAATATCGTTAACTATATAAACCATCAACGGCAAATGTCAGATTTTGGTGTCAGTCCTTCCGAATCAAAGACACGGGCTTCTTTCTAGACAATTTTCAAAGAGGTTCAGCAACCATACAGGGAGAAATCCATCACAGGAGAGGCGGAGATAATAACTTCACACTGACAGCTGCCTCTATAGACTAGAAATACAATGCTGAGACAAGACATGTTGCATTTTACATAATAGGCGAGCGCCACAACTCATTATGTAACTGGTGAAACTATTGATGTGGCTTTGCTGTTCCTCGTCTCCTCTGGAGAGATGACAGTAAAACATCACAACCTGAAATGGACCCGAGAGAACATTTTTATTCCCTTCAATTATAACTCCTTTTGTGCAATATACAATGCAAGTTAATGGAAGTTGTGTGTCTGGTGCTTTTTAATGTTTCCGCTACTCTCAACTAGCTCCTTTTGGAAAAAAACAACCGTTTTCTTATTAGTGGATCATGTTTGGTAGCCAGTTCTCATGAAGTGGTATAAGACAGATCAAAGTGCTGCAAGATTTGTGGACTGACCAGTTCAAAGCACATTGGTGCAATTATCCCACAACAGTAAAAGACAAATATGAAAATGCAGAAGAACTAACGGATACGTGATTTCCTGTTTTCTTTCCTGACATTTCCCAAATGTCTGCACCGTCAAAATGATAAAATATTTTAGTTTATATTGATAAACAGTGATCATACCATTAGTGATAGAAAGTTCACGAGGATTAATTTGCATCTGTAGAGCTCTGTGCAAATGTCTCGAGCGACACCTTGTTTGTGTTTTGCTATTTTGCTGTACGATTTTACGAAGCTACGTTTATTCTAACACAGTGTGAACTATGTTAAGAAAGCTTTCTTGTAATTTCTTTAAGTAGTCTTCTTGAAGGACATTCAAAGCTTATCTGTGGATCTTTGCTGCCTTTTGTTCCATTCTCTGTCAAGATTATCCCAAACTACTTCGATGTTGTTGAG